AAGATCTCAGCTGTGTCTACTTCCTGCTTTCACTGGCAGAATTGAACTGCACGTGTCAGGAAAAACACTTGTCCTATGAAGCGAAGCATGCCCACTGCACGAGCATGGAGGAGCCACTGTGGGGCCAACCGGGGGATCCACAGTCCCTGCGCTGGCCGCAGATACCTGCTTGGGAGCCAGGCTGACTCATCAAGGTCCCCAATCCTTCTGGCTTTACTGTTTAGGAACTAGAGAGCTTCAAGGCTCTATCATCTATGGTCACACCCATGGAATCTCATCTACTCGGTGGCATTACATTTATGCTGATAACGCCCCAAATTATATATTAGCCCAGACCTCTCTTCCAACTCCAGACCCCACTATCCAGGTGCCCTCTCAATGAGACATCCGAAAGGCATCTCAAATTCAGGATATCCACAACTCAGCTCATGACCAGCTCCTCTCCTCCCCACATCTCCCACCCCTCCCATTATCTTCCCCACCCTTTTAGCTCCCCAGATGCAAAACCTCACAGTCAACCTCCACCCTCCCCCTCTCCCAAGTCATCACTAATTCCCATTTGTTCTGCCTTTGAAACAGACCCAGAATCTGACCATTATCACCATCTGAATGAAAGCAGAAGGGCTGCCTTCCTTCTGGAGGCTTCAAGAGGAAATCCACTTCCTTGCTTTTTGCAGCTTCTGGCTTCTGGAGGCTGCCCACATTCCCTGCCCCAGGGCCCCTTCCACAATGCATCACTTCAACCTCCTGACTCAATCATGGCATTTTCAACTACTATCTCTGACCCCCCTGCCTCCCTCCTCTAAAACTCATATGATTACACTGGGCTTACCTTGGTAATCCAAGATAAGCTCTGCACCTCGACATTCTAAATCACGTCAGCCAAGTCCTTTTGCCATGCAAGATGACAAATGCCCAGGTTCTGGTGACTGGGGCAAGGGCACCTTTGGGGGCCATTATTCAGCCTGCCACACCACTTCACTCAGAGCAAAAGCCCAAGTCCTTACGATGCCCACCAGTTCCCACGTGATCTAGTCCCCACCTCCGAACTGAGCTCACCTCTTCTAACTCTCCCCTCGCTCACTGCATCCCAGCCATGTGAGTCACGCTGTTACTCAACACCGGACCATCTCAGGGCCTTTGCACTCGCTGTTCCCGCTGCCAGGAAAGCTCCCTCCCTCGTTCAGGTGTCTGCTCAAATGATACCAGCTTACGAGTGAGGCTTTCTCGGCTGACTCTGTATAACAGAGTAATATCATCACCTTCCCACCAGTTGGGACACTCCCTTCCATGCTAATTTTTTTCACAGAGCATTATCATCTGACGTGCTATCCATCCACACATCTGTCCTCCACCAAGGCAGGATCACAGGGGTGTCTGTCCCTTGTCATATCTCCAAGAAATAAGCATGAGGCTAGGGCCCAATAAACAGTTGATGAATAAATGAATTTTACTTTACTGGAGAGTAAGTTCCTTGAAGACAAGACCGGGCCTAAAGCAGGAACTTAATAAATGTCTGAATGAGTAAAAAAAAAAATGAATGGGTGAATGACAAACCCAGTTTGCATCTAATTTGCTATAGGTATATGGACCAACATCAAATCAAATGCATTGCTGCTTAGCAATCAGGCACAACAGGTAAAATAACTTATTCAGGATTTGCAACAAAAGTAAAGTAATGTAATTACAAAGAAAAAATTCCAGCCAAGCCCCTAACTTTATTTTGCTGTGTCCCTGAACATTTCAGACCTGACACATCAGAACTTATCTGGATTCCTGTGCTTGGTTCAAATACTCTTACCAATAAGGCTTCAAGTTGTTAGACAGAAATCCCAAAAGCACTTACTTCACTTATTCTGCTACATAAAATATGAACATACATAGGAACATATGATCATTATCCACATTTGAAGACGCACCCAGGAGCAAACCTGCAGCCAGGGGATGCTGTAGGGACACACAGAACCCACTTCAAGTTCATCGGTCCCTAGCTCAGTCATCAGCCAGCCAGGGCAGCTCCAGAGGCTCACCTCAGCCATCGAGGACAAGTCGAAAAAGACATTCCCACTGTGGCTGGATGGCTAAGGGAGGCCGGGGCAGCGGGGGGAGGGGGGAGAACCCCACAGACAAAGCAACCGCCGGGGAACCGCCGAGCCAAACAGCACCTGTGTCACTGAGGGCACCTCTTCTGCTCCCTGCAGTGTCATTACGGTCCCGCTGCTGACACACCAGCCCAGCTGGACACGCTGGAGTGGCTCTTCCCCTGCTCCCCTGGGGAGGCAAGCCAGCACTGGGCTTGATTCACACTTGGAAACCGCTTTCTGGGAATCCTTTTGTGGGCACGAACGGAAACGAGAACACCACGGTGGTTAGGAATCCTGACCCGGAGAACAGGCCGACAGGGTTCGAATCAAGCCTCTGTGACTCACTAGCTATGTCCCGATGGGTGTCCCTCGGCTCCAGTCTTTTCACCTCTAAAAAGTCGGCTTACGAGTCTTACAATTACGGGAGATAGAGCAAGAAAAGCACTCATCACAGAGCCCTTGGCACCAGAGACCTTCATATGTACTGGCTATTACAATAGCTATCATTATATTCTCATGTAGTATATTATTCTTGATTCTGAGAAAAAAAAATCGCCGTTCAAAAATAAAGAATACATCTGTCTTCATCTTTAAATTAGATTTGTAATAGCTACTCCCAGGAGTTTATCATTTATTTCCAGCTAAGTATTTGCCTGTAACTAGGGGAAGCTGCCACCAGGCAGAAGTTGAGATTAAGCTTGCCTAGGTGTGCCTTAAAAAATAAAGTCATTTAGTGACTTTCTCCTCAATTCTACTCTTGAATAAAAAAATAATAATAATTTGTTACTGGAGAGCTTAACAGAAATGTTAGATAAATATAACTAGATGCCATATTTAAATAGGATAAGCATTATGAGTTAAGATTTTTAAAATACAGAAGTACCTAGGTGGGTGGTCACCTGGGTTTATTTTTCTAACAAAGTAGCATCTGATAGAAATCGCAAAAAAAAAAAAAAAAAATCACTGATTAATGCCCTACATGCCTCTTGGCTTGAAAGATGAAACAAAAGAGTAACAAAATATACTTAAAAAAAAAATTTCTCCTAATCATAATAACGAAAGATGCACACCAGAAGCATGGAGTGAGCTTTTCGAAATTATGTTAAGAATTAGTCTTGAGGTGCTTGGGTGGCTCAGTCAGTGAAGCGTCCAACTCTAGATTTCAGCTCAGGTCGTGATCTCGGGGTCATGAGATCGAGCCCGGTGTCAGGGTCAGCGCTCAGCACAGTGTCTGCTTGAGATTTTCTCTCTCCTTCTCTCTCTACCCCCTCTCCCTGCACATGTGCTCTCGCTCTCAAATAAATAAAATCTTAAAAAAAAAAAAAATTAGTCTCACACATGGAGATTTTGATTTAGTAGTTCAGGGAAGAAGCAGGTATTTGTATTCTGCAACAGTCCCCCAGGTATTACTAATGCTATCCCCTATGGTTAACAATCACTGTACAAACTCTTTTCTTTTGACAACGAGTTTTTTGCCTTAAAAACTTTTGCAGAGATCTTTTCTTGATCTCCCGGCCTGTTCCTAAAGTAAGACGTGTCTACTTGTAACTCCGTGAAGAGAAGGTGTTGAGTTACTTATCAGCCCTTGAAATCAGTACAATTCCTCCAGACATTTTACAACAAAGCTGCTGAAGGAGATGGGGTATGGGGGGCTGAAACTCGACGTCTGTTCCATGAAATCATGTGAATGCTTTTCCTTTAGACCAGCACTGCCCCATGGAACATCCCGGCTGGTGGAAACACTGTGTACCTATGTTTTCCCACAGGGTAGCCATGAGCACTTAGAAGTGTGGCTTGTGGCTTCCATAACCGGAAGCACTGCTCTGGACAGACGTCAAACTCTGGCTGCGCATGGCCATCCAAGCGCCTTGCTAACTGAGGCCCTCCTTTGATTAACCTGTTCAGGACTCATTCCTTGAGCACCCACCTCAAGCCTAGCACCTGGCAGGCACGGGGGGAAAGAGCAGGGAGCAGAAACAAAACCCCAGCCCCCTCTCATGGAGCTTTCATTCCAATTTTTAGTAACTGGCCTCTTTCAAACCACCAAACTCATGTGAGGTACTTGCTCCAAGAACTTTGGGTTAAATGTGTTTTTTAAAATGATGCTCTTTTGAAGCAGAAAGACAAATATTCATGGTTTGAGGAACAATAGAGTTCAATGGACGGAAGAAGTTAGAGGGCACAGACAGTCTGCACAAGCAGAGAGAAGTAAGCCCACGAAACCTTTCCAGAAGGGCAGAAGAGCCTCGGCCATGGGATAACACGCTTGAACGTTTTTCCGAGGAAGGTCCTAAGCCCACCCTGGGCCGGGTGACTGAGCAGGCAGAGTGTTAAGAGTCATCTGCCCCAGGAGCAGGACCAAAGGGTTCCCAGCTGGAACATATTTAACAATTCCCACTGGAGATGGATCAGAGGAGAACCAGATGCATGACTAGCAAAGGTATTTTCACGCAGCTGTAACAAATATTTTAGGTGCTACAAGTTTTCAAGGGACTGAAATTAAAAATTAAGAGATTAAAAAAAGGAAGAGTGATGGTTTGATTAGAAAATTTTTAAAATTTTCTAATCTAATTTCTAGCAAAGGAGGAGCCCCAGGCAAGCCCGTTACTACTAATCTTGGGCTCTGCCCCCCACCCCCACCCCCCACCCCGACACCGTGCAGGGGCTGAGCGGGCTGATCGCCCCTCAGCAGTTTCTCGGGCCCTGGGTGCCGTGTGGCTGCCTAACAAAGCAGCAGGACAGGTCAACCTGTAACAGCTGACCCCTGGGCAAGGACAAATGCTACTAGAAAGGATCAGAAAGGGCACCTCGGTGGAGGGTGCCTGCCAGGAAGAGCGAGGGTTGTTCAGAATTGCCGCACTTGGATCACTGTTATTAATTAAACCCTGAACTAAGATCATTCATCAGCAACCTTACCTAGTTCTGGGGGCAGAACGGTCAGGCGATTCCCCTGAATGTGGAGTTCCTTAAGCTGAGTGAGCTCCCCGATTTCTTTAGGCAGCGAGATCAGGTCGTTATCCCTAAGGCTGAGCTAAATATAAGAAAACAAGGAGTTGTCAAAAACAGTGTTCACGTAAAGAGGCGCTCAACAGCAACTCTCGTCCTTTCCCGTGCCCTCTCTCCTCTAAAGGCTCAATCCCCTCAATTTATTTACAAGCGCCTGCAGATGAACCAGAAACAGTAGCAGGAGGAGTGGTTGATTCCTGCAAAACAAACCGTACTCCTGCTCAAATTGACTTGATTCCACCCCTACAAGGGCTGCAGAAGTGAATTGATTTTCTAAGAATTTAGATAAATTACTTACTATCTGCAACTTTGTGAGCTTCCCAATATCTGGCGGCAGGATTTCAAAATCGTTGTCACTTAGATAGAGTGCACGCAGGGTGGCTGCAAATTAAACAGCAATATATAAACAGGGTGGCACGGAATCCAACCATTTGAGGTCTGATCAATACAAGGGAGTCAGCTTTGATTAATAACCCCGGCTCGGTGAAAAGCCTATGACACACCTAGGGCCCACAATAATAAGAAGCAGGTCAAACTTAGATTTACTGGCTTATTGTGGGGCTGGTGTGTTCAGGAAAACATCTATATCCAAGAGGACTGACACAATTAACAACTCTGGACACCAGCAGTTTTTGGCACAGGGTTGCAAGATGCTTTCAAAAAAGATAGCTATTTGTCTTCTGTTATTTCCAATACACATTTATGCTCTGCATCCAAAGGGTAACCAAGAAAACCAGTCTCACTTGTATCAACGCTGAGGACAAAAGAGCTCTATCATTGAAATGTGACTCTGTTAAAAATAAACAACTAAAAGGCTTTCTGGTGAGGAAGACCATAATCACAGTTCATTGTTTCCGTAATCAGACTAATTATTATTATTTCTCTAGCCTTAACAACAAAAACAAATGAAAACAAAGGAGCTGACATAATGACATGGAGCTTAAAACTAGAGAAACCCTAATTTAGGCAGAATATCGGTGATCAGAAACTTGTTCACAATATTACACAGTGATAACATGACCCCCAAACTATGGAAGAACATTCTAAGGCATCTTTTTGATCCCTAACCAAAAAGGAGACGTATAATCAGATTTGTCTGTTTTGTTTGCTTACAGGTATTCAATTACATTCTAATGTTTTAAAATTCGACAGAACTCTATGTCAATATACACAACAAAATTTCCTTCATGGCCCAAGAAAATATTTTAGAATTGGCTTCATGTGCTTGACAAAGTCTGGGAATGAGAATATGCATAAGGTTATAAATGAAATTTTGGAGACGAGCTCAGAAAATTCAGAATCGCTGGATGCCATACGTGTTGTCACTATTTGGAGAAGCAGAACACTCATTTAAGGAAAGCAAATCTTTCCTAAATATTTTGTGAGTTCTCAGAAAAAAATCAGTTTTTCCTCATTTTTTATGAGTAACTGCAGCAAGAAATTTGTTTGCATAGAACACAGGTGAAAAGATAAGGTGTGTTTATCTGTGACAAACAATTTCTTCATGTTTGATTGCATACTACAGACAAAATAGACTACATCAATGAGATTACTTTTCAAAAGACTTAAAACAAGAATCCTGCTTGGAAGCGTCAAAAAATTCTGTTAGTGGTTTATTAAGGGTATTTTTATAAATAATTGGTTGGAATATCTTTGGGGACATAGCTTACAAATGGTTAACAGCAACACGGGAGGACACATACATTATCATTTTTTTTTTGGCATGCTCTTTAAAAAAGAAAAGTCAAGTTCTTTAGCTAAATGTGAGACTTGATCTCATTTAGGTACATAATCTCCATCCGGAAGTTAATATGACATTACTAAGTCCACTTGAGCACAATGGTGTCAGGTAACTATAAATCAAATATACAGACTGCTGAGCTATGAAGGAATATTCAAAAGAAATGTGTGAAGAAAAAAATACATACGTCCAATAATTTCTCTTGGAGTTCGGGCCCTGGCAAATAAATTTCACTTTCAGAACGCAAAGTACCATTTTAAGGAGATTTATAGAATTAAAAGTTTCTTACTAAGGTAGAAGAAGTTTCCGGGAAGAGAATTTTCATTCAAGTTGTTGTAAGTCAAATCAAGGACCTCAAGAGCTGGGAGGGAGCCAAATCCTCGAGGCAAAGTGTTTAGTCTATTCATGCTGTGGTTGGGGGGAAAAAAATCCAAGTCGTCACACACAAAACATACATTCAGACAATACTCACATCACCTCTGTGTCACAGGCCTACGAGCCGTATGTGAGACTGAAAGCTCAGAAGAGGCCATAATTCTGCCATCACTTTATGTTCTTTTAACCAACACAGTAATTGTAGTCAGAGAATCTCCATGGTCATGGAATATTTGAAAATGTCTCATTTTCTGCAATGGTGATGCTTACTGTGTTACAGAAAAATTTCAAATCATCACAAAGTATCTGTCCTTCTAGAGAAGAACTTCCTCATGTATGTAGCAATAATAATTCCTCAAAAGACAGAGTAAGTTTGTAGTTTTTAGACTGTTGGCTTTATTTCATTTATTCGTCCCAATGGGAGGGAAAAAAGAACCACTTTTTTTGTTCTGCAACTACTAACGTTCAAAATGAGCCAGGGGCTGAGGGGGATGGAAACAGGGAGTTGTTGTTTAATGGATACAGAGTCCATTTTGCATGACGAGAAACTTCTAGAGATTGGCTGCACAACGATGTGAATATACTTATTGCTATAGAATCGTACACTTAACAATGGTTAAGACAGCAAATTTTATGTCACATGTATTTCATCATAACCGAAAATCAAAATATTATGTGTATCTCCAATGAAATCTATTTTCTTATTTTCTTCAAGACCCTTATTTTTTTTTTAAAGATTTTATTTATATGACAGGGAGAGGGAGAGAGAGCATACACAGTGGGAGGGGCAGGCAGAGGGAGAGGGAGAAGCAGGCTCCCTGCTGAGCAGGGAGCCCGATGCGGGGCTCGATCCCAGGACCCTGAGATCATGACCTGAGCCGAAGGCAGACGCTTAACTGACTGAGCCACCCAGGCGCCCAAGACTCTTATTTTTCTTAATGTGGTTCCCTTTGAACATATTTAAAAGAGGATTTAAAAAGAAATTTTTTAAAGATTTTATTTATTTATTTGACAGAGAGAGACACAGCGAGAGCAGGAACACAAGCAGGGGGAGTGGGAGAGGGAAAGCTGGCTCCCCGCGGAGCAGGGAGCCCGATGCGGGGCTCGATCCCAGGACCCTGAGATCATGACCTGAGCCGAAGGCAGACGCTTAACGACTGAGCCACCCAGGAGCCCCTAAAAAAATTTTTTTTAAACTTTGCATTTTATTTCGGCACAGGGAATGATTGAGGGTTTTTTAAAATTAACATATAATGTATTATTTGTTTCGGGGTACAGGTTTGTGATTCATCAGTCTGAAACAATTCACAGCGCTCACCATTTTTTTTTAACCATTTTTTTTTTTTTAATCTAATAAGCTGAGATACTGAAAGGTCGGAGAGACTGTGATGCTAAAATAATTCTAGGCCTCGAGCCTTCTCACACTAGATACAATCCCGTCCACACCTGCCAACCACCCACCAGCCAGGCCAAACAAGAAAGAGCTGACAACACAAGAGGAAACCAAGAGAAAAGCGATTTCTACCTCTTGGGTAGAAAAGTCATTGGTTAACTTTACACTTAATAAAATGACCTCCATACAGGGCACCTGGGTGACTCGGTCAGTTGAGTGTCTGCCTTCAGCTCAGGTCATGATCCCAAGGTCCCGGGATCGAGCCCCGCATCGGGCTCCCTGCTCAGCGGGGAGCCTGCTTCTCCCTCTGCCTGCCATTCCCCCATTTGTGCGCGCTCCAGGCTCCCGGGAGAGCTTAGAGCAGAGGCAGGGGCAGAACAGAGCGAGGTGAGATGAGCAGTCTGGCTCTAGCGTTACTAGCTGGATGGCCTTGGAGAAGTGAGTCAGCTTCGCCGAGACCCAGTTTCTTCAACTGTAAAATGAGGACAGCCATACCTTCCTAGCAGGATGGGCAGGAGGATGAGAGCTGAAAACTCTGAAGCCCGTAGAAAGATCTGTGGCTCGCAAATCATTCCCAAGAAACGAGAGCTGGAACCAGGTATTTTTCACCAAGTCATTCTTTGAGAAACACTGTGCCTCAAACAGGTAAGCTCACCCTGGGAGAAGACCACTGCGGGCAGCCTGAGTTATCCAGTGTGGTTTTCCTGTTTGTGTCCTACCAGCGGACCCTCACATCACTTCAGTGTTCTCAAAGTTGCTTACGGCTCCTTCGCACCATAATGGTATAAATTCTTTTGATGGCCCCTGGACATTTTTCCCAGTGTGTTTTGGAAATGGCAAAGTGCCTGCATGTGATGTAGAAATTTGTAAAACCAGGTAGTTGAAGGCTGGTCAGCCTCTTTTTTCTTTCTCTTTTTCACAAGCTAGGAAGGCCCTTACTTAATGCTTCCCTTTCTAGAATGTCCCGACCTCCAGAGGTCCTCTCGCGTTCTTCTTGCTTCAATAAAACCTTCTTTAGCTGAAGGTAACAATTTTTCGTATATCCACAGTGACCTGCTCACACACTCAGCCCAAAAAAAAAAAAAAAAAAAAAATCCAAATTTGTGAACACTCAACAACACGCTTGGTGAAAACTTCTAAGTTTCACAAGATGAGCTCCAGCATCTCACTGGGTCAAAAATTATTCCAGAGGAGTTGGGGATGGTGCCTCTGCAGTCAGATTATCCCAGAAAGAATTACCGACAAGTAGCCAATGTGGCTTTATATTTTGTGGAAATTAACTCTGTAAAATGAACCACGTTTAAAGAATTAAAAACATAATACAACTTGACTTATTCACATGGCCTAAAAATCCTCTCAGGCCTTGCCATTATCAGAATAAACAGCAAATACTATATAAAATTTTAAAAGCAACTTCTGGTTGAGCATGCTGAACGAAATCTGCTTATGTGTGGCCTAAGGGCTCTGCTGTAGGGTCTCCTGTGTGTATATACATAATTTTTATTTTAATTCCAGTAGAGTGAACGTTCAGTGTTATATTAGTTTCACGTGTGCAATTTAGGGACCCAACACTTACACATACATCACCCGATGCTCATCACCACAAATGCATTCCTTAATCCCCTTCACCTGTTTCACCCCCCATTCTGCTCCCCTCTGGTAACCATTGGTTTGTTCTCTACAGTTAAGAGTCTGTTTTTTTGGTTGGTCTCTGTCTTTGTTCATTTGTTTCTTAAGTTCCACAAATGAGTGAAATCATATGGTATTTGTCTTTCTCTGACTTATTTCACTTAGCATTATACTCTCTAGGTCCATCCATGCCATTGCAAATGGCCAAGATTTCATTTTTTTATGGTTGAACAATATTCTAATGTGTGTATATACACCCCTCATTCTTCATTCATTTATCCACTGAAGGACACTTGGGTTACTTTCATATTTTGGCTATGGTAAATAATGACGTAATAAACATAGGGGTGCATAAATCTTTTCAAATTAGTGTTTTAGTTTTCTTTGGGTAAATACCCAGTAGTGCAATTGCTGGATCATAGGGTAGGTCTATTTTTAATTTTTTGAGGACCTTCCATACTGCCTTCCACAGAGGCTGCACCAGCTTGCCTTCCCACCAACAGTGATGAGGGTTCCTTTTTCTCCACCACCTCACCAACAGCTGTTGTTTCTTGTGTTGTTGATTTTAGCCATTCTGACAGGTGTGAGGTGATATCTCATTGTGGTTTTGATTTGCATTTCCCTGATGATGAGTGATGCTGAGCATCTTTTCATGTGTCTGTTGGCTATTCTGGATGTCTTCCTCGGAGAAATGTCTGTTCATGTCTTCTGCCCATTTTTTAATTGGATTATTTGCTTTTTTGGCGTTGAGTTTTTTGGTGTGTATATTTTTATTTGAGCTGCTTACTCTAAGGAGTCCTCTATTTATGACTTGCCTTAAACAGGGCTATGTAGGTATAATTCTTTATGCCACTTGAGGACAGAAATATCCTTTACTGCAACTCACGTCAATTTCTCTCCCAGAGAACGAAGAATTTTTGTTCAAACTTTAACAACCCCATCTATACAGCTATGTAATTACAGAAAGCTTTACACAATCAATAGAATACCAAGAGCCCAAAAATGCAAACAGCTCTGAAAACAACAGAGGGAACTAAGATGCGTTTGATTAAAAAAACAAAACAAAATAAAAAAAACCTTTGTAACTCTGTCCTAAGGTATCTCCAACCCAACCAAAAAACACCTGAGCTCATGATGTTCTTTCCACAACCGTCCCCATCTTTATTTCCATTTCAGCTGCCCACGACAGACCCCCAGGGATCACCCCATCCCATCAGCTACTGTCTTGTCGGTTTTATCTCCTATTTGTCACCTAAAACCCCTCCCCCGCCTTCACTGTCACTGCCCATTTCTCCTGGAATGCTAATCTCCCACATGCTTACGGGTCTCCTGACCTCTAAGGCTACTTACCCAACGCCCCCCTCCACATGACCTTTCACATCCAAACCTTTTCTCATAGCTGCTAGTCGGCTGTAAAAACTCCTCCATGGTCAGCAGGACAAAATCAGAGCTCCTTTCCTTGGCACACAGGGCCCTTCATTAGCCTTTGCCTCCCTGCAGTTAGAGACCTGTGTTTACCGTCTGTTTCCCCACCTGTGATGTACGTGCCATAAAGGCTGGACAGCTACTCCCCAGGACAGTGCTTGACCCTCCGCTGGGAGCTCAGGAAGTACTCAGTAAATAAACAGCAGGCATTCATGCTTCTTCGTCCGGCCTCCTCCCTCACCTTACCGCTCCCTGCCTCACACTTTACACTCAGCAACACTCAACGACCTGCAGCTCCTGGAACGTGCAGTACCCTGAGCTTTTGGTCCCGTCCTTCTCCCAGGCTGAGGCGCCTTCCCTCTGCTTCTGAGTCTGAGAAATTCGTTTCCCTGCATCAAGTTTCAGCTCAAATACTGCCCCCTGCAGGAATCCTTCCGACAGCTTCTGCTATGGACTGACACCCTCGTCCCTGTCTCCACCACCTCGGGCGTGTCAGTGGCCCCACGGAGACTCCCACTGCTCCCCAACAGCCGGCTCTGCCCCATACTTAAGGCCAGGGACTGTGATTTTGACCACTGAGCCCCAACACGAGCAAGGTTCCTGACACAGATCACAGTCATGAAATAAACGAAATAATAAATAAAACGATGATGATGAGGATGGTGGTGGTGATAATAGCTAACATTTCCATGGTGCTTACTACCCGCCAGGTACTGCTCCTAGCGCCTTTTATGTGAAGAACTGGTTAAATACATGAATCAACAAATTAACAGTAAGAATGTATCAAAATTTTTTTAAGATTTTATTTGAGAGAGAGAGAAGAGAGTGAGCATGAGCAGGGGGGAGAGGGGCAGAGAAAGAGGGACAAGCAGACTCCCCGCTGAGCAGGGAGCCCGATGCGGGACTCGATCCCAGGACCCTGGGATCACGACCTGAGCCGAAGGCAGAAGCTTAAGCAACTGAGCCACCCAGGGATCCCAAGAATGTATCTAGTTTTATGCGTCCAGTAAATACATCTAGTTTTAGCTTCTGGCTTACATACAAATTAAACATAGGACTTAATAATTTTCAAAACAAAGATATAAACAAAGGATCCTTTCTTTTCTGCTTTGCCAGATGGGTGTACAATCTCTGTATTTGTAGGGGGGAAAAAAGCCATCTGATTTAGTGACGCCCCCCCCCCCCCTTTAAGCGCTACTTCCCCTCAGACATCAGGAAAAAGAATGCTTATGGATTTTCCAAGATTATCTAAACCAGAGGGAACATAAAATGAGTGTCTAATCACACTCCCCGTGGAAAGAATGAGCTCGACTAAAAATCATTCCATGAATAAGGTGTTTTTTTTGGTGATTGCTTCCTATTAAATTGATAAATACCTGGCCAGCTTCTATCACCATTCCATGTAAATCACTAACTAAACTAGAGCATTTAATGGTTATAATTTAATGAATATATTGCTTCACACGGCAGATGAAGCATGAATGGGTAGCTTCATCTAACAGCTACAACAGTGAAGCTGGAATTCGGGAGCCCAAGTTCTGGGGGCATCTGTGGTGTTTGATGGAGGGGCGTGGACCCTGGATAACGGGGTTCTCCGCCTAGCTCTGTCACGAAGCTCAGAGGCACCAGGAACAAGTCAACTGAAGCTCTCAGAAAGGGCTTGACTTCCTCTACACAAAATGAAAGCAGTACCGCCTGCCCTCCCTCCCTCATAATCATTCAGAGGGTCAAACACCGGCATGAGGACTTTGAAAACTGTAAAGCAATAGATGGTATTATTATCATTCACTGCTGCCTGGTTCTGCCACCTCAGCTGAATCAAACCTCCTCTCTTCACCTTTGCATAAAGAAAGACAGAGGATTATAACCTCTGGGCTATATAAAAGAATTGTAAGAATCAATGAGGCAGTGTTCGGAAATGTATCCTCCCGCCCTCCATAGAAGGAAGGCGCTTTTGTAAGCAATTTCTACTAAACGCAGAGAGAATGATCAACCAGATTACAACTGCTCTGAACAGTTAATGCTATGCAAATAAGTCCCTTCCTGGTCCACGTTAACTGAAATAAAATTTAGTTGGAAACAAAATACGATAAAAAAAAAAAAAACTCCCTTATGGTACAAACAATTAGCTTTTCAATGACTACTCAAATAGATATGCACTAATGCAGGCCATTGAAAAGAGGTATTAAAACAATAAAACTTTTGTTAAAAACCTACAACACAGGAAAAAACTGGTCAGTTCCCCCTGGGTGATTGCATACGCGCTCCCACTTGCCCCACAGCCTGCACCCCCCTTCCTTCCTCTTCCACCCATACTCACCCCAAGTTCAGGTGTTTGAGCTTTTGAAGGCTGCTGATCTGTGTGGGCAGCTCCTCAATCTGGTTATTAAAAAAGTTGAGCACTTCCAAATTCTTCAGTTCTGCTATGTTTGGTGGGACCGCTACGGAAACAAAATTGCTGAGTGTGAATACGGAGCCCCGCTCCTCGCAAGGAATGCCAGCAACACATTTTGTTTTTCTTTCTCAGGAAAGAGAGATGAAACTCGAGTATGACCATCTGATTCAAATATCCGTCTTATTTTTTTTTTGTAGGTTTTTCTTAGGTTAGTAACTCAGTAGAGTAGAAATGGAAATGTTCCCTCAAAGGGCAAAAGAGAATTTGAGAGTGCCATCAACAGCCCATAAAAGTGAGTATTCCCAAGCACAAACGCTTTATAATTGTCATACAATGTCTCCTAAGTACAACTGTTTGCTTCCTTTGGGTTTTTTTGTTTTTCTTTTTTTTCACCTCCACCAGAAGAAAGATTGCAAACTCCAGATCCTTCCTGGGTGATGACAGATTCGTCAAGCTGTTTCAAGAGTCGGATATCTGAAGAGCTGTTCTCTTAACACTGCACTAAATCACACTGGAAGTTCAACCTTAAATGATGAAATATTCAACCTATCTCGTTTATGATTTTGGCTTCTGGCCTTTACACCTTGATCGATACACACACACACACACACACACACAGTTTACATCAGATTAGCAACAGATCAATGAACTGTTATTACACAGAAATATGAAAAACCAACTCAGTAGCATGATATGAATACCAGCCGACAGATTAAAGGTTATAATAAACCAGTGAGGGCCTAAGAGTCTTCCTTCCCTGGAATATATACTTGCAAATACCAAAGTAAAAGCCAAAGGCATCTTTACCTCAAAAGTATTAACTCTCCATTGGTAGCGGAAAGACTCCCCACAGATGATACCTTATCCGTCCCAGTCGCTGAGTCAGTCTTCTACAAACATTTGTCACTGGCCGTCAACTTGTCCACAGTTCATGTAAACTCTCACACCAAGACTATCCAGGCTCCTGACACCACGGACATGGGCCTTGGGTCCAGCACAAGAAAGTGTCATGTCTTATGTCAGTACATTTACTTCCCGTCCCAACGGCACCCTCCGGGAGGGGCGGACAGAAGGGTACTCCAGAAGACTGGGAAAAACCGGGAGCACCTTTGCTTAGAGCTACTACACACGTATGCGTCAAATTCCAAACAGACACTGAAACCATTTCAGGAGGTACCCCCTGCAAGGACTCCAGTGTGTAAGTCCCAGCAGAACAAAAGTAAAGAGGACAGGCACACTGTTCATTACAGTTCTGAGTCCTCGATTTCGGCTCATAAAATGTCCAAGGCATCGGTGACCTGACTTCTTTTAGAGGGAAGGTGGCCTGGTAAAAAGGCAAGAGAAATGCCTTCACCAGAGGAAGGGACTGTGGAGAATGTGAGTCAGCCTGGATTCAGACACTTGGGAGGTGGCAGTGGTCCTGATGGAAAATGAGCAAGGCGTGGATTAGTTACTGAAGTGGCTGGTTGGGGCTGGAGATAAAAGGAGAGGTTTTAATGGGAAAACTCAGGCAGCCAGAAATCACTTCCAGAAACTGTCCTCTTGGACGCCAACCCGGACGCGTATGAGCCCTACCTGTACAATCTGGCCTCAAAAGCGCACTCTCGAGGTGTGTAGTCAGTAGCACGCTCTCTGGTGAATGAACAGTATTCACTCTGAGTAAGTGATCACAAAGAAATTCCTCATGCCTGCTGAGTCCCTGGGTGCTGTCAGCTTACCTGTTCTCTCCCTAGAACGTGAAGTTGTGTGAGGCACAGCTCTTCGGTGACTACCAGCCTGCTCCGGGGGCCTCGCGCTCACCCCCGCCCCCGTCTCACCCGCCAGCTCCCCCTAAGCGTCTCTCACAGCATTTATCCGATTACTGTGAAGAGCAATAAAGAAAGTGCAACCAGGAGAAAGTGATGATCTCAATTTAGCCACAAACCAAGAATAATGCAGCCAGAATTACGGCCACCTCCCCAAAGTTACTTTGCCAATGCAATTAAATGCTGGTCTGGAGGTATCGCCTTTTGGACAGGATGAGAGATTATTTCACTCTCCTTGCTAAATCAGTCCAATTTAAGACCACAAATTATGCTAAATGTGATGTAGGGCTTTGTCTTGTGGACACAAACAATAATCCTACATTCAATTTACTAAACCTCTCCCAGCCTTTCGTGTGCATGTGAATTTTGTGTTTAAGACTCCATTCAAGCAACAGGGGGAAAATATTACACAGCTCATATTCTCTCTCAACTACGGAATTCCCCCTACCTGGCCATAATAAAAAACAGAAGAAATTACTATTCAGACCTGAATGGATGGGATAGCATTCACTCTTTCAACCAGTATTCAGAGAACGCTGGTGATGTGTACTGAGCCCCACTTTTAACACCTAGCATTTCAATACTTCTGGGATAAAGTAAGAAAGGCAAGCTATTTAAACAAAGTAAGTTACAAAAAAAGGAGTATCAGAGTCAGTAAATGGAAACAGGTCTAGTGTTTGGAAAACAAATTCTAATAAAACTGTCCATAAAAAAAAAAAAATAACCAGTTAGCCAGATGAGCTATGTAATAATGAAATTATACACAAACGTGACACGAACTAACTCAGCTGTTACGGACAAAAACGGGAGCAGTACGTCCCCAGGCAGAATACTCCGACAAAATTTTTCAAAGATCTCCACATGACGCATTTGCGTGAAGTATTTTAAAACGTTAAATGCACAGTCAGCCTCCAGATATTCCTTATTACGCCTTGGCAACATTCCTTTCCATCAATCTGTCCTGTTTGTGACTGTGACCCCAGTGGTATACATCCACACAGTCGACACACCACCAGCAGCTGAGCGCTCAAGGGAGACAGGGGGACAGCACAATGTGTGGACACAAGAGTCTGGGCTGCACCAGGACCCTTTCAAAGTCCGCTCCCACCTGGCTTTACCATTCTACGATTCTCAAAAGAGCTGGATGATGAAAATCAATGATATGGATTTAAAAATGCAACAAATGGAGCCCTCAATTAGGAAGCTCAGTCATGTAGAACTTTGCTTATGACAGAGAATTTAGTATCATTTTCTGTCAAAAACGACGGCTTTAATTTTGAAACTCCGGTTGCTACAGGTGAGAAAGGTCCCCGATCACTCTCAGGTGTCCCCTGGCTCCCAAATGCCTCATTCTGCTTTTGTCACAGGATCAGATGACCGCTGGGAACCCTCTCGGTCCAGAGCAGAGGTGACAGAGATGGGGTCCTGCCCCCCCAGGAGCTATGGCCAGAGACTGGTCTCACATTATCTTCTGGCAGTTACAACAATTCAGACTGACACGCCCCGCAGGACACTCTTTCCATTCAAGGCCTCCTAAATTGAGAGCCTGAACGTTATTCCAGTTTCGTGGGAGAAGCGTGTCACAGCCAGACTTAGCAGTCAGCCCTTGCAGTTTGGGGACAGCCTCACAACAAGCAGCCCAAGTCCCTGGGCGGGCTCATGAGTCTGGGCCAAAAGCGGACTTGGCTAATTTCCTACATTAACAACCCTTGGACAGCAGCGCCCTCCGGCAGGAAGCCTCAGCACACACTCGCTGAACACACTCGGTAGACCAGAGCGTTCTGACTGTAAGAAACAGCTGACCCAGTAACCAGCAACAGTCACCGGCCTCCCCCAACAGAAAAATCTCAATAAACGATTGTTATAGCAACTGGACCTTCACTTTAGGAGCATTTTGTTCTGAGATATAAAACTCACAATTCCACAACCAGTAACTTATTTTTAAAAAAACTGTTAGTTTACGCACACAATAATAAGCAGCAGGGTATGCTCTGGAGCTGGGCTGTCCAACGTGCAATCACCAGGGAAAATTGCATGGAGGTTCCTCAAAAAAATTAAAACTAGAACTACGATATAACCTAGCAATTCCACTTCGGGGAATGAAATGAAATCACTGTCTCCAAGAAATATCTGCACCCATGTTCACTGCAGCATTACTCACAACAGACGAGACACAGAAGCAGTTTTAAGTGTCTACCAACAGATGGATGGGCAAGGAAAATGTGGTTTATGTAGCTACAGTGGAATACTACTCGGCCATAAAAAGGAAACCCTATTTGCAACAACATGGATGGATCTTAGAGTCATGCTAAGTGAAATAAGTCAGACAGGAAAAGACAAAACTGTATAATTTTATTTATACGTGGAAGCTTAAAACATACAGACACACACATACACACAAAAACTCATGGGAAAAGAGATCAGATTTATGATTTATGATTACCAGAGGCAGAGAATGGGGGGTGAGGGAACTAGATGAAACAGTTAAGACAGAAAAAAAAGAAAAAGGAAGTAAACTTAAATCTAGATTAGTTGAAATTAAGTAAAATTAATAATTCAGTTTCTCGGTCACACAAGCCACATTTCAAGCGGTTAGTAGCTACCATATTGGACAGCACAGACAGAGAACATTCCCTTCACTGAAGAAAGTTCTAGATAGTGCTGCTCTAGGGCAGGGGGGTCACAAACTTTCGAGTACATCAGAATTACTGCAGGGCTTGTTAAAACACAGGTTGGGAGGGGAGTGGAACATACCTCAGAGTTTCCGATTCAGTAGGTTTGGGATGGGGCCCGAGCTTCCGCATTTCCAAGTTCCCAGGGGATGCTGATGCTGCTGGTCCACAGACCACTTTGATGCAGAAAACTTAATTTATTGGTGACATCAAAATCATTAATCCAGTATATATGTCCCTTACCCCCACACAATAATGCTGAAAAAGATTATCCAAATTAAGACTTCTCTGTCACCTCAGTAAGTTGAGACTTGGGGTTGATGAAAAGTGGCAAAAAAAAAAAAAAAAAAAAAGGAACTCTAAATGGCTGATCCACCCAACCTGCGGGCTGCAATCCAAACATTTGCAGTCAGCGTCTGCTTCCTCACGCAGCTGGCTCATCAGCACAGATGAACAAACAAACACTACAGGGCACACCATCCCCGGGCATGGCTGGGCCGGCCAGAGACACACAGACCCAGGCCCAAGAGGTAGGAATTCTTATCATTCAAGCCGACATTGTTAGTTTG